AAAATGTAAACAAAATGTAAACAAAATGTAAACAAAAACAACCCTCTACTTAATTCACAACATAAGTGAAGAGTGGCTGGGAAACATACATACTATGTTTCTGTACTACGCTGATAAATTGTGTGTAAACTATATTTCACTGACTATGCAGTCAAATGTTAATGTAACCATCATTGTTTTTCGAAGTATATTTCTATTTAACTATAGAAAAAAATAGATACAATTATTTTATTTTTTTTGTTTTTAGTACGACACACCAAAGTGTGAACCTTGACGATTTTAATAATGTGGTAGGTTAATTAAGAATGATAAGTGAGTTTAAATACAACACCAGTTGAGAGGGCGACTCAATTGTTACCAGAGTTTCTTCCAGGCTCCCCACCCCCTCCGAAGGAAGTCTACCGCCCACCTGAACTAAATGGAATTTACATAGAAAACATACTTTTACCACTGTTCGCCATCACCACCCCCTCGGAAAATTTAGTCCGCCCTCCGAAAACATCAAGTGCCACCCCTTCCGGAGAAACAAATCTGGAAGAAATACTGTAACTTCTAATACTAATTTAAACGAGTGTAGTTCTATTTATACTTTTTCCGGAAGCTTTTAGTATTATTTTACATGCATACGATACTGAATTAGATTCTCATTGATGTTTTAAATTAAGAAAATCCCGTTAATTCAAATGATGTGTTTAACAAGACTATAAAATAAATGATCTAGTTAATTTCTTACTGATGAAAATTGTCCTTAAATGCGATTCATTAGTAGAACTAAAATACTAGGTTTCCCAGGAAACAGTGTATTTCAGGTACATTTGTATCAGAAATCAGAATACATCCTTCGTATTACATGTTATACACAGTAGAATAAAATATGAGTTTATTTGTTATTAAATCTAAAAAACCACATAATTTTAATGTCACTTATTAAAGATGTGTTAAGTACAAGACACTTAACAACATGTAATTAAACTAATTACTGTTCCAAATTCAATTTATGCAATTATAGACTATATTCTATTTTAAAGTGCATGTTCTAATGATATCGGCGTCATTTATTTTTATCATTTTGTTACTGATCGCGTTTTAATAAACAACACATTTTTTGTATTGATTTGATAGATTTGTCTAATCACTAAGTAGTAGTTTTAAATGTCCACGACAGTACAAGTTTAAAAATAGAATTAGGTGTAAACACTATAAAACCATTGAATAAAACCAAAGTAGTGAATGGTATAATTGTAATTGCATTCACATCAATGAACTACTACACAAATGTAAATGGCATATATTTCTTTGATTATATCTATCGTTTTCTTGAAATTTGGAATTATATCTACACTGAAATTTGTTATTTTATATGCATCTGATGATATCGTTTAAATTGCATTGGAATCAGACTGTAAGATACAAATCTATGTGCCTTAAGAAACTCATCTAGCAAGACCCACCAAAATACTTGAATATTCATGACTTGTATGTGGTTTAAACATACGGATACATATCGTACCTCTCAAACACAGATACTAAGATTGCGGGGAAAAGAAACGAGGGGTAACATGATGAACTAATCATTTCAAACGGTCTTTGAGGCAAGGAAAGTAGAGTTCACCTGTTTATGTGATCCCGGTATATGCATGGATAATGTGGTCAGCACTATGGCCAGCCGCCTATAAAGGTAATAATTTTATGCCTAAGTATTATGGTCCAACGGTCGCCTAGGCTAGTATTATGGTCCAGCGGTCGCCTAAGTTAGTATTATGGTCAAACGGTCGCCTAAGTTAGTATTATGGTCCAACGGTGGTCTAGGCTAGTATTATGGTCCAACGATCTCCAAAGTTAGTATTATGTTCCAACGATCTCCTAAGTTATCATTATAGTCCAACGGTCGCCTAAGTTAGTATTATGGTCCAACGGTGGCCTAGGCTAGTATTATGGTCCAAAGATCTCCTAAGTTAGTTTTATGGTCCAACTGTCGCATGAGCTAGAATTATGGTCCAACATGCACCAACGTCGGAATCAACAGCACAAAAGATCACCCTAAGGGGAAGTAATTCAGTACACACATACGCACTTAAAGCTAGGTCACAAAGTAGAAAAAGCTTGAAAAATAAAACTTGCAATGTCATTTCGTGCGTGTATGTAGGCGTTTGTATGCCTGTATATGTGTGTATATATCTGGTTGTATGTGTGTCCACGTATCAATAGAGTTCAACGAGCTGTGACGGCATCACGAACCGTCCCGCATGAGTGAACGATAACTGTGCCTTACGTATAGCCTAAAGCTGAGTCAATAATTTAACTTTTCTTAAGTTGTATGCGTTGTGTACAACGCCATGGGGTACTGGGTTGGGGTTGAGATAAAATTGTTTGAAATGAAAATATCAAATAAAATTATTAAAATGATGTATGCCTGACTGAACCAAACATGACCACAATATTCATAGATGCAAGGATTAGAAGGTCAGCCAAATTTGAACCCTCCTCCCCCTTCATACAAAGCACGTCTACCGCTCCCCCTACTTCATAACTATAATTGATATATAAAATATATACTTTTATCACTGCACCCCCCCCCCCCCCCAATAATTTAATTCCACCCTCCACCCGCGAGAAATATGTCTGAAATAAACACTGTTCTCAACGGTGAAAAAAAAACTACATTGGTGTTTTATGATGCAAGGTCTAAAAGTTGTTCTGTTTTCAAATGTTCTAAACAAATGAACTAAATATGTTAGATCTGTCGTGTACTTGGGCAGATAAAGCAGATTTCACCAATGTATATGGCATTGCTAATACAATAATAATATGATCGTTTCTACGCCCACTTAATTGTATGTTCCCTAACAGAGTCAGGTACCCAATATCTCAGGGTTCAGTCAGCGGTATTATACCTTCTCAATCCCGACTTCGAACACTGAGTTCAAGGTTTACTGTTGCGGGTTCTTCTGTCCGACCATGTTGTCCCATAGGTTGTTTAGGAAATATTTCATAACATATTCAATGCATATTTTACATCGCATTCAAACTTTAAAAAGTATACGCATTGCGTTATAACATGTTTTAACAAATCTGGTTTGTGTTAAAACATTTCTAATACGTGAATTTATATTTTTCAACTTTCTCAATTCCAGTTTCTTCAAGGCATCTCTTTAGGGGGGGGGGGGGGGGGGGGGGCGGAGCTCCTCTCCGAAGAAAGTCTACCACACCTCTCCCATAAAATGGAATTTATATAGAAAACAGACACTTTTACCTGTGCCCCCCCGGAGAAAAAAGTCTGAAAGAAACACTGCTTATACAGAAATGGTGGGAAACGTAATGTGCTGCTGCCTGTGTTTTGATCTTGTAACACGAATCTTGGCCTGTTCGTGTCACACCAGATTACACTAGTGTTTGGTTTTATATGGTTGCCTGATAGAGTATCGTAACACAATACAGTCGTGGTTTGTTTTTACATGGTTGTCTGATGTCTTGATAGAATAACACAATACGCTCGTGGTTTGTGTTCTTTGTACGTTTTTATACAATCTATTTGTTGCCTGATTGCTACTGCTTTTGGAATATATATATATATATATATATATATATGTATATATATATATATATATATATATATATATATATATATATATATATATATATATATATATATATATATATATATATATATATATATATATATATATATATATATATGTGTGTGTGTGTGTGTGTGTGAAGTGAAGTGAATAAAAGAAACAACCTTATAAAACATCCATTGCGATATGTTGACAAGCATTGACTTATTTTTGCTATACTAAAGATAACAGAGTATTGTTAGCAAACATATGTCTTATTTTGATCAGCATAGGAACTACAAAAGTGTGTATACAAACCTAGGATTATTTAGGCTATATAGAAACCCACATACAGACCATATCCCCTACACACAACCCATATATTTTATTTCAACCCACGTACAACCCATATCCCTACCGTCACCCATTTACAACCCATATCCCAACCATACGTACAACCCATATCCCTATCATCATCCATTTACAACCCATATCCCAACCATACGTACAACCCATATCCCTACCGTCAACCCACGTACAACCCATATCCCCACCATCACCCATTTATAACCCATATCCCAACCATACGTACAACCCATATCCCAACCATACGTACAACCCATATCGCAACCATTCGTACAACCCATATCCCCACCATCACCCATTTACAACCCATATCCCAACCATTATTATCTGCTCTTCATCCATGGCCATATATCAAACGTTACTCTAAAAATAATCATAACATTCGTCATCAATATAGAATGCATTATGTGTATTATAGGCCTATATATAAACAATACTAGTAGACCTACGGGGTCTATAATTTGTATGATTGTTGTCAACAATGTGATCTTAACTACAGTCATATAGTTACGTATAGTCATTTATGTATGTGTAAATCAATAATTCTTTACGTTTTATTTTAGCTGTGCGATGTATCCAACTATATTCTCATGTGTATGGGCTTTTCTTAAGATACACTTATGTATAATTTTATGGTTTTCAGAAAAACGGTCTCAATTTTATTTAATGATGTTTAAATATTTACAACGTTTCAACAGTTTTATGAAATTAAACAACTTAGCTACCAATTTCATATCCCATATTTACATGGATATTTCAAAACATGTAATCAAATATTATGCAGGTCTAAACAGAGTTTGAAACTCTGTACTTTAAGTATTTTCTACACTGTGCCCTTCATATATATATATATATATATATATATATATATATATATATATATATATATATATATATATATATATGTATATGTATATATTGCATATGTGTATTATTTTCATCGACAACATTATGAATGTAAGATATATTATTACAGTGTACATGCAATACATAGCAACATGCGCTCTTGTTATTCGCATTGTTTGTTTATGAACTTGTTGATAAACATTTAGGTAAACAAACACAACGGGTACTCACCCTATCGTCCTTCACCTTGTCCCCGTTGACAGACTTTTTCCTACTTCTCCTCCTCTTGATGGAGCCCGACCCCTCCCCCAGGTCGACGGCTACACTGTTCCTGTGGCTCGGGCTCCGGGAGGAGGAGTACTCTCGTATGGGGTCGGGCAGGGGTCGGTTGTCCCGGGGGTCGTAGTTGTCGAAACCGTTGTGTTCACTGTACCTCCGGGAGTGGGCGTTGGGGTCAACGACCATGAAGTTGTAGGCAACGCTGGCCATTGTAGTGGCCCCTGGCAGAGGAGTATCCAGCTTGAATGAGTGGCGGGTGAGCCTCTTTAAAAGAGCCTCCTCGATATAAGAAAAAATAATAATTAACAACACGGTTTTAAAGTTAGAGTTAATTACTTAAAGGCGTTGAGAACGCCTCCGTATAAGAAAGACCAGCTGCCTTATTGGTGTGTAAAAAAATCGTATCCACAACAAAGTTAAAAATAAAATTAAAAAAAACACGATCAAAATTCAAGTTATATAACGGTACAATCTGTTTAAAAGTTATTCCAAAACCACGTTGAGAAAATGAAATAGAGTAGATATGATGAAACTAACGGCAACTAGTTGCCTACACAACACGGTTACACAGCGGTGACTGTCACGATATATTTGCCGCCGTCCGTAGAAGAAATATGGATTGGCAGTCGCGCTTAGGGTTCGGCAATTATACATCGACAACGGTTTTCGAAAAATTCTCTCTCTGGCACTGTCGCTCCCCCCGCTCTCTGCGATGACGCTAGCGTACTTGGAGCAGTGGCGGTATTGATTGTCGTTTAAACTACAGGACTCACGTATGCTGCCAGTATGCTAACCCGTATGCTGCCCGCACACTGCTAGGATTTGGGTAAATGGATTTAACCTTTACACGGAGAGTTGATTATGAAAAAGAGCTCGAAGCGATGAAATGTATTAAAGAGAAACAACTTTACAGATTTTATGAACTTTTTGTAATAAAACTTTAATTTTTCTTTTATATGATAAATTTGAAGAAAAACATATGTGGAATTGTAAAACATTTTTTTTTTTAAGTTTATGAAAAACATCACTATTAAAATAAATTCATAAAAATTGAGGCTTTTAGTTTATGCTAATTGTATGTATACATTTTTCGATTTTTCTTTTCTTTTCTTTTTCTTTTTTTTTCTTTTTTTTTTACTTTTCTTTTTCTTTTTTTATGTACTTAATAAACTTTAAATGTTTTTCTTGGAAAATTTAAACTATGTAGACCCATTTAAAATATTCATAATAAACTGGTTTTTTTCGCGAAAATCTCCACAACCAATGTGGGCATACACACACATTCACATTCTTAATAAGATGGATTTATATAATTTTATATATTTTTTTTTAAAAATACTAAAGTGTTTTTATGGAAATATTTATTTTAATTATAATATTTAATTTGAACATCAGTCACTATTGTATTGGTTTACTGTCTAAAATGATATTTGAAACAAAAAAAGCCCTAAAACAGTTCAAATCACTAATACCAACGCCCTATGTGGTGGTACCACAGGTGAGTCCAAGTACGCGTCGTCATAGTGCGCACCATAAGAAACGACAGACCATCCCGCGCAGCATTACATAAACAATCCATACCGGACTGAACCATACGATCAATACAGAAATCCCTGCGAAATCACGCGGAGAAAAGGTAACATTATTGATGGGTGCGGGGTTTGAGTATTTCACGCCAACAGTAAAACTGGGTGTAAATAATGTTTACAATAACATTTTATTGTAAGAATATTTTAAAATATTCAGTTTTAAAGGTGTATGTGTGTGTGTGCATTATTATTGATGTCTTAGTAAGTATAAAATTTCATATATATATATATATATATATATATATATATATATATATATATATATATATATATATATATATATTCATATAAGTATATATATACATATACATATACATATATTCTTATATATATACACATATTTATACATAAATATATATATATATATATATATATATATATATATATATATATATATATATATATATATATATATATATATATATATATATATGTGTGTGTGTGTGTGTGTATGTATGTATATAAGAAAGATGCAAGTTTATTGCATTGAAATATATATTTAAATCGAATTGAAATGATTCAGAACATATGGATTAATGGAAAAAGTTTTTTTTAAACTCCGTGGTTTTAAAAAGTTAAGTTTCGTGATTTCTAAACGAACTGGTGGATCAAGAACAAACAGGTGCGTTCGATTAAAGGAACTGCTCTACTTCTACTTGTTATTTTGACTTAAGCTTTTTTGTGTATTTTCTTGTATGTTGAGTGCAATGATTGAAAGACGATCGATGTTATATCCCTTATAAAATAATTCTTGCTGTGATTAAGTGTGAAATGGGTCTGACCGCCATTCATTATTAAACATCGGAAATATTTACAATTTGATTTTGCGATTTATGGTTACAAATTCTATTTTTAAATGGTTAACGTTTTACTGAAGATGTTTGACTTATTTTTCGAGATACGGACAACACAGACCACAATACAATAACTAATAATTTGAACCGCTAATAGATAATACACCAGCATTTAAAAATTAAACCCATTTGGGGCAAACTTGGCTAAGTATAGCAATAACTCATATATATATATATATATATATATATATATATATATATATATATATATATAAAGAAACATAACCTAATGCCACATAGAATATCACTATACGCATTATATTCTAACACAGGCTCGCCACTTCAATCAAAATATAACGTGCCAGGGACCACACAACCTCTTAATAGAGGTTACACGTCGTGAAGGGAAGCAACTGCTCATCAAGGGAAGCAACAGCTCATCAAGGGAAGCAACAGCTTACAAAGGGAAGCTACACCTCACAAAGGGAGATTACACGTCGTAAAGGTAAGCGACTGCTCATCAAGGGAAGCAACACCTCACAAAGGGAGGCTACACCTCACAAAGGGAAGCAACACCTCATGACGAGATGTGACGACTCATGAATGAGGTGACACCTGGTCGTACGTCAGGTGAAACTCAGTGAAGCGTGGTAGTTACACCTGTTGTTAAGTGCTGTACCACCTCACCACAGCTGCCGTAGAAACATACCTGATGTCTGCTTCACGTCCCATTGAACCTGAAAATTGGGGAAGAAAAATAATATCATATACGTAAATAAAATACGTAAATAAAATACGTAAATTGTATGAACACAAAATAAATCAATGTTATGTATTATTTTAAAGGCAAATCTTTAAAAACAATTTTAATTCAAATACAGTACGCCGATAAAACGGTAATAAATTGTTAAAGAATTTGAATGTTCGATATGTCTTGTGTGTGAATGGCGAAGACAAAAAATTACGCAACAATGTAAAATATCTAATGAATTGAAAACAAACAATCTAGAAATCAACATTTGGTTAAAAATTGGAGAATAAGAAAACTTGATGTATTGAAATGCTTAACAAAAATTAATTTGGAAATTAGAAAGGGTACATGTATGTGTTGCAAAAGATTACTAGAATTATATGATTATTTCAAATAATTGTATGCATATAATGTCTAATTAATAAAGGATAAATAAGTTTCAAAACATGAAGTAAATAACTTAATTTCTAATCAGACGAAAAGGTTGCAAAATGTTAATTAAAATAGCTTTATACTTCACTTAAGATGATAGTTTAAAAGTTTAAACTTATCTAATTTAAATACACGTATGTGAAACGAAATAATCCCAAAATATGGTATGACCCTATATTGGAAGAACACTGGTATCGAAATACTTGCTCAATCTAGCACCAAGTACATATGTATGTGTGTCTCTAGATACTTTCAAGCCGGTTCGATCTGGACTTGGTTGAAAACAGATGAACATGTTTGGTAACTTAAAGAGTTGCAAGTCACGCGAGTTTGTCAGCTATAGTACTCACACGTGTTTGTTTATTAGTCAGATATAGTAATCACACGTGTTTGTTTATTTGTCAGCTGCAGTACTTACATGTGTTTGTTTATTTGTCAGCTATAGTACTCACACGTGTTTGTTTATTAGTCAGATATAGTACTCACACGTGTTTGTTTATTAGTCAGATATAGGACTCACACGTGTTTGTTTATTAGTCAGATATAGTACTCACACGTGTTTGTTTATTAGTCAGATATAGTACTCACACGTGTTTGTTTATTAGTCAGATATAGTACTCACACGTGTTTGTTTAACATTAGTATTCAAACTCGTTTCTTGTTTCAAGGTGGGTTGAAGAAAATGTTACGGTAAAACACATGATAGTATGCGTCTTGTTTTTAAATAACTGTACATTAAATGACAGTTATGCAAATTAGATTTTACATTAACGTATCCGACAGAAATAATCGAATTCTTTAGTAAAGTTTGATATTTAAATGTATTATTGTCACTATATAGTTTGCTGCATTACAATGCATTGTTGCAGGTAAATTACTAAATTCGATTATGTTTGCATAATCATTTAATTAAGTATTTTATTTGTAGCTGGGTCTTTAGGAGCAAAGTCTTGTTATATTTTTACGAAATATTAAGTAACACATGTTTCTAAAAGTCTGTAGAACATAGTTTAAAACACATAAGTGCAATAATTATCATCAACTTCGAAAAAAAATATTTTATAAAAAAATCAAAATTATATTAATAAACTATATGTATCACATAATTAAGGGAAACAAATAATTTAACCCTCTGTGTATCCTGAAATCTGATCTTTTGTTTACATTTCTTACACTTTTCTAATGAGAAAAAAAACAATCTTGACTTCATTTATAATACAGTAATTATAACAAAAATATTTTAAAAAGTTGTTTTTTTCAAATACAAAAATTATATACAGCCATTAAAAACTTTTAAAACTTACAATTTCATCCGTTGAAACGTTTTCTATTTTAAGACGCACTCTAAGAGGAAATATGATATACCTGACTTTCTTTTGGTTTTTAATTACGAATTAAGTTCTGAAAAAAAATCATTTATTTCCTGAAATTGAATTTGAAAAATCCGAGAATCAGCACATGGTTATAAAGTTTGGCTCAAATGAAAGTGTTAGTGTCTTCAGTGGTGAAAGAGTAGACGAGATATTGCGATATGCGGATGGCGCAACCTGTACCGTCCACCTGTCTCCAGCTATTGCCAGTGTTCTGATTTTGACCGAGCGTTTTTTTTAGGTGCACTGAATCGATAGGTGACTTAGCTAGCGGCAAATATACTGACTCGAACTACAACCCCCCTCCCACCCCCTGCAGTCAAACAGTACGTCACCAACCCATTTTTATCTCTTACAGAGATTGAAACAACCTCAAATACAGAACTCACTCACGCACACATTCTTGCAAACACATACTTCATAACAGAGATATAAGGAAATCCAGCCAAAGACTCACATCATCTTACACACGCACACGCACACACACGCACAGACACACACACATCCTAGAAGAGATACGACAAAATCATGCCAAAGACATACACCACCTTAACACACATGTATATATATATATATATATATATATATATATATATATATATATATATATATATATATATATATATATATATATATATATATATATATATATAAACATGGCTGCATAACAAAGACTAGCATGCACACACACACATCAAAGATGCCAAAGCTCTTGGCCACACCCCGAGTAAACCCATTCATCAAAAA